TTTACGATCTTAACTCCTACGCATGTGATTTGGCCTAAGCTTGTTTTACCGCTCTTTGTATTTTATCACATCGTTAAACTCACTAAAAGATATAATTATTATGTTCTCTAAATATTAAGCGTGCAAATTCCTTAAGCAACACATCTTTACATGTATGTTCTACATCACCTATTTAGTCATAACATGCAAATTGATTATACGGAAGTAAGATAGACGGTGCACGGGATACACCCTTTTTTAGCAGGAAGATCAAATTCACTTAAAAGAGCCTAGTTCCTTTCCAATTACAATTGATACAGTTCATAAAATAATCAACACTTTGTTAATTAACATCATAATAAATCATCCAATAAAAATATGATCAGTGCTCTATAAATTTTATAATCCAAATAAGCTTTAGTTTTAAGTATCACTACCAAAGGATCACCATTAAAAAACACCTCTTATTCACCCTATCCATTAAGTTGTGTATGTGTACTAGTTTGGATAAAAGTACTTATCAAAGGATATTGAAAAGATATATTATGAATGCTATTTTTGTTTAGGCAATTAATGGAGAAGTAACAAAATAGATGAACTTCATATAATTTTTATTGACTTTGATAGACATGTAATTGAGTACCACAAATATTGATTTGGTGAGCATTAAGACAGAAGTGAATCAAAGGCATATTAATATTATCAAAGATTGCATGATGAAGCACTGATGATTATTCATAGCATGAAGTGAGCTAAGGGTTTTCAATTACAATAGGTTTACATGAAGTATTAGCATTGAGTAAAAATTATTTTCTATTGGTTCTAAAAGTTTTTATAAAGAATATTCAAGACAAGGTGCCTTGATGCATAATTTTTGCAGATAATGTAGTTCTAATATATAAGATATCCATCGAAAAAAGTAAAAAATTAGAACAATGAATTACAACGATGGACGATATGATTAATATATTGAGTTAAAATTAATAGAACAAAAGCTGAGTATATAAGTTACAAATTTAGTAGGAGTAATATTATCAATTATCATTCAATATTGTTATAAGATAAGGTGATATTTATGTGTGACAGAATTAAGCATCTTGAATATACTATATGAGAAAAAGACCAAAATGGTCATGTGACTCTTTATGAAATATCAAAATGGTCTCCAACTATATTAAAGGATAATTTTGATCCCTTAACACTTTAAAGAGAAACAATAATAGTCCCACCAAGAAACTATTTTAGTTCCTTTTTAAGGATTTGATGGATCAAAATGATCATTTAATATAGTTGAGTATTATTTTGATTCTTCATAAAGAGTTAAAGAACCATTTTGGTCTTTTCCAAATACTCTATAGATGAATGAGGATATGACTTCTAGAGTTAAGACTTAATAGTTAAAATAGATAAGTGCCACAAGAGTTTTGAAAAGAGAAAATATCATGAAGGCTTAAAGGTAAATTTTAAAATAGCAATTATGTCAAAAATATTTTATGGATCAAAATGTTGAGAAGTTAAAAACTCATTGACATTTAAATTGAGCCTAAGAAAAAAAAGAAATTTAAGAAGTGTGACAAAATTAAGAAGTTAAATTAAGGAATGATTATATAAGAGATATGATTATAGAAACAACTACTGAAAATAAGGATATATATATATATATATATATATATACATGATTTAGACATGTATAATGAAAGATTAAAAAAATATACACACTAAAAAAATAAATAAAAAGGGTGCCTAGGCAGGAGAAGAGATGGACCTAAAGTTACATGGACAGATGTAGTGCAAAATGATTTGTGGAGACTAAGATTAACTCAAGTAGCACTCAATGGGAAAGAAAGGAAAACGAGGACTCATAAAGTCAATCCCAAATAATTTAGACAAGAGTAATAATGTTGATACTAAACTATCTTGACATTGATGCACGATGCAGACATGCTGATATATATGACCACCAAATGATCACTATTAGGAAACAGAGTCACATAGAAAAAAATAATATATCAGATTAATTAAAAATTCCATTATAAAAGATCAACATAGTATATATTTCAATCAATAAATGGGCGGTTTAGCATTGCTGATTTCAACCATAAGTTCAAATGAACAAGGATATACAAATTTGTGCCCACATCCTCGAGGAGAAAAAGGTAAATCTAATGAATAAAAAATTTCAAGGCCAATGATAAGCAAACATACATTTCTATAAATATAAGGGTTTTTTAGCCTTGCTGATAAACACGGAATATAAAAGTAACTAGGCAAATTACATCTAGGTCCCAATGGTTTAAGACGTGCTTCACTTCGATCTATATTTTTAAAAATCATACACTTGAACGTTGAGGTTAATTTTGTGCTTTAAATAAGATTCTAGTAATAACCATCATATATTATACCAATTCATAAAATTTCCTTCACATATCATGTCCGTAGGGTAGGTTCGCATCGAGCCGAGTTTGAGCGAGTCAAATTTGTCTCGAACTTAAAATGATACGATTTTGCCTAATTCGAGCTAGAATCAATAGCGAAATATTATTTGAACCAAGATGGATAAACAGAAATGATGTTCCTTATGAGCCAACTCGAAATCAATTCTATTTAACTCAAAATTCCAATCTAGTCACTTGAATGCATTTAATTTAACTCATTTAGAGTCAAAATTTGAATGATGAAAAATGTTAAATACTAAAACACATGCACAAGATGATGGATAAACCCATAAATGACAATAAATTAGTAAAAATCTAAAGTTAAATCATTAACAAATCAATTTCAAATTTTCACTTCAAATCTCAAAATTAAATTAGAAAATAAAAATATAATAAATTTTAATATCTTAATTATACATTTTAAATCAAACAAAAACCAAATACTAAAATTATACAATTTAATTCCAACTTTTCACCATTACAAAATAAAATATTACATCATCTCTTCACCTAAGGCCAAAAACAAATAAATATTAGGCTAGCCAAAAGAGTTAGAACCTAGGACCTTTCAATAAATCATGAAAACTCACTGCCTCACAAACCATTGAACCATCAAGCATTTTGATTTTCAAATGGGAATAAATTATATTATAAATAATATTCTCAAATTAAATTTTGAGCAAGCCATTGTGAGCTAGATTTGACCAGAAAAATATTTGAGTTAATTTATGAATCATGACTGAAGTCAAAATATATTGATTCAGTTCTAAATTGATTTAAAATGCAAGCAAGTTTAGAACGAGTTTCAAATTTCAAATAAAATTTCCACCTGTAACCACGGGCCACATAGATCATGTTTGAATTTCTACCTGTCTTTGCAACTCCTCATCATTGTCAAGCACATTGACTCTTCTAAAGGTGAGAATTTCTATTCAGAGGCTAAGCAACGCAACCAGCAAGTATTCTCTTCTCATGACTTCAAATGAGCCTTTAAATGAGTTTAAATTTAGGATTTTCTCATAACCAATTTTTTTTCTTACAAATATTTTTAGAAGCAATATTATAGCCATGTAGGAGATTTTGCACAATATGTTCATGTTGTTTGCTCGAAATTTTCTTCTTGAATGGCCTCAGATATATCTTATTTTACAAGATTTTTTTAGGAAATACCCCATAGTCTTTACATGTTGGGGTGTTATAATCTAGTTCTTTGATAAATAACAAGGGTTTAGATAATTTTTGTTCATGCTTTTTGATTGAAGGTCAAATGGCTTTGATGTGAATATGGAGGTGAACTACTTTGTTATAAGGCCAACTGGGCATTTTTAGAAGTCAACATCCAACATTTAACAAATATTCATGTATTTAATCACATGAGCGGACAGAAGGCTAACTTTAATAAACTATAGGTTGTTTTTATTACTTTAAGGTCAAAAGCTAAGCTGGTCGACCAAAGTGACATACCAAAAAGCACTAGGAACTCAAATATAGCGTTTACAAAAACATGATGTACCAAAGTGAAGCACACCATAGATGTAATTTACCAAAAAAAATTTAGAAAAACATTTTAGCCTTCTTGATTCAACTACAAAATCACATGAACAAGATGAACAAACAACCCTACACGTATAATTTCATTACGAAAAGACTGCATCTTATAAATTCAAAAATTCATAATTGAATGAATATCCAAGAATATATGTCAATCAATGATCAAGAAATTGTTTGCACTAAATAATATTCAAAATTTAACAAATAGCTATCTAGTGAAATTTATATAAAAATGCTCAAGAATATCAATAACCAATATCAACCAACTAAAGTACTAAAAATTCCCCATAAACTCCCATGTGCCATGATTTTCAAAAAAACTTGAGCTTTGTTTAAGAGGAAAATGAAGAATGAACACGGATTCCTTATTGAATTATAAACAACCTAAAGGATGTTTCTAATGAGAACATGATGCAACCACCACATGATCACCATTAAGAAACACAATCTCTAAGTCACCCTATCCATTAAGTTGCACATATGTAATAACTTGGTGAAAGAAGTACTTGAAAATTATGTTAAAAATTTTTAATGAGAATTCAAACAAATTAATGGATTAAAAACATATTAAATATCTAATACCAAGATGATAATATTTCTTAATGAGTTTGCTTTACTTTTTAGAATAGTAGTTTGAGTTTCTTCATATAAGACTACTTCAAATGTAACTTTTCCTAATCTAAATGCATGTCTTATGATCATATTCATTTATAAGCGGATCAAGGATGCATGGTACACAAATCAATTTGTTCAACCCATTATCTAAAATAGTTTCAATAACCAAATTAATATTTCATTGTTTGCATGCCACTCAACATAATGAAAAATGCTAGATTTCAAGTATTAAATAGCTAAACATAAAGTTGCACTTGGACAAAAATATACTTGAAAAAGATAGTCAAATAAAAGCCTCAGGAAAACAACAAAGTGGAAAAACTTTATTAATATAATGATGTAATTTTCAGCGTGAATAGTTAAAAGACTGGAATTAGTAATAATTTTATAGGAGAAATAAAAAGGTCAACAGGAAGTTGCCTGAGGGAGAGTCGAATTTAATTTCAGTGCGAGAAGCAGAAGCTGTCCAGCCTCCAGTTTGTTTGGTTCCATTTGAAGTTCCATCAGGAATCGATTGAATTCTATCTGGCAATGCAAGAACCATATCATTTCGTGCAGCAAGATCTTCTTTTGTAAGCCCTTTAACCTGTAAATAAGGCATGAAACACTTCTAGCATTACAAGCGTGGAGATTCAAAATAAGATATAATCAAATGAAGAAAATGTGAGTCTATAATGAATTTGGAATATACAAAGGATGGTTATAATTAACAAATCTACTGAATAAAGTATTGGACTATGAAATCACAACATTATGTTGTTTGATCAATGTGAGAAGTTTACACTCTGTAACACCATGGCAATATTAAGGTAGTCTAATTCATGCATGATTATCATTAACAAATCTACTGAAATACAATATTAAACTATAGAACCATACCATTAAATTGCTTCATTTAATGGAAAAAGAATAATGTGATGTAGAGGAAGAACATGAAAGATAAAAAAAGAAGGGCTATTGAGCAGAGTGGAAGAGCGAGCGCTTAGACGAGAAAGAGAAAAGAAGATAAGATCGAAGAAAGAACCTCAGGATTATAAGAAAGGAAGGAATGGATCTGAAAAAGCATGCCTAAAAAAAGCCATATATTTATTTCAACATCAATCATTTTCAATTGTAACCTAGGACTACTGTTTATAATAATAGCTATAAAATTCTTGGATATTTTAACCCTAATAATAATAATAAGAAAATAACAAGATTATACAAACGGCAATTGATTATCTTAACCCTAACAAATATCAAACAACAAATAAGGGAAATAACATGAACATGATATATTAAATAAATGCTAAATAAACTAACATAAAGAAAGACATAAGTCTAATACTTGAAAGTAGATGTCTTGCATTGCATTTTTAATTCTACGGCATTTAATCTAACCCCATTATTGAGTTATGGTTCCATACAACTTAATCAACTTACAGATCCTTGATAATTCATACCTCCTTCGTGTTTTGAAGATTCAAAAACTTGTCTTGAGGATCCAACTATCAATCTCAGACTTCGAATCAAGAACTTGGTGAATTGCTATTTGGTACCTCCTTTGTTTCTTTTCCTATTATATTTTCACAATTTTGTTACACAGCCTGCATCAATTTATTATCAAAGATCAAAATCACGCTATTTTTGCACTCAATACAAGCGATTTACTAATGCTTTTGGATTTTCCCCCAATTTCTTGCAATTTTAAATTTTTGTTCTCAATTATTTGCTTTAGTCCCATATTATCTCTCTTCCATACCATCTTTTCTTTTTATTGAGATAAAAAATGGTCCAATAGTCGCATATTATTCTATGAATTATTTGCTCACTTAAACGTTAATTATGCCCCTCAATTAATTATTCAAAATTTCAAAATTACATTCACTTCAATCCTTTCTAGAACTTCCTAAACAAATCTTTAAACAAAAACTTTCAAATTTGATATTCAAATCAAATTTTTCATTTAATTCAAATGCCTACCAAATTTCCTAAAAATCCTCCAAAAAAGTGCTCATTCAAAACTTATTATAGCTAATCATATCATTAATCATAACTATAACCACACGACATAAACCCCTGCAAGCTCCATCTCTTTTTTGTATAGACTCCAACCCTGCAAGCCCTCAAATCTCATAAGACCGTGCATGCAAATACAAACTAATTCTAGGATATACAATCATTTATTTTTCATTATTGCGAACACCCGCAATACCCATTAAATTGCTCCAAAGGATTGTGTGCCTCTCCTCGTAGTATCCCAATGCTCAAAGACAACTATTATTCTATTTCCTGCAACAACCTTGATGTATTTATGCCAACTCAAGCCTATAAACAACTTTCATTCCAAACTAAATTATGCTATCAAAATCCTATTCAAAACAACCACCAATATTTCTAGAATTCTGAAAAAATATTGAAGCTCTAATTCCTATTCCATGAGAACAATAATTGAAAATTTCTTTGTTGTTGTATTTATCTCTCCCCGCATAACACTCCTTAAGCGAGAAAGAAAAGAAAGTAGAAATAAAGGAAAAGAAAGGTGCACAACAAAGTCTTCTTCTTGTATTTTTAATACATCTATTTATTATTATACTTTCTTAGGTCAATCTTTTCTTGTAAACGGAAGCAAGAAGATATATTTTGTTGCTTTTTGAGTGTGAGAGGAGTTAATCCATTGGTATATGAAGAGCTTACACTGCTTTCATAGAGGTGGAGGAGAGGGAGGATGTGGTAAGTGTTTTCTAGGAAGAATAAAAATTAGATTTTGGAGGGAAAAGGAAGATGGTAAACTCACCATGTCATCATTTATGGTGGGAATGTAACTTTTTTCATCATCTTAGATAACAAGATAACAATGACCAAGGAATTATGAGCAAATTAGTTCTAAGTGCTTTTTTTTTTTAAAAGAAATGGGATTTTATGAATTATCAATGGGGGTAAAGTGGGCTCCTATTTTTGTCATGATCATGTCATTCTTCTTTGAAAATATTATGTTCAATTTCTGTTTTTATGTATTTCTCATTATCTTATTTTTAATTGTTTTAGATTGTCCAAGTAAATTTTAGCTACTATAAATAGTAGGATTAGTTGTAATTGAAGTTGGCCGTGGCATTCTCATTGGAGATCAATTCTCCCATCATTCTTCTTGTTGTGAATCTCTTCCTACCCTTTCTAGATCATGCATCTCCACCTATGAGGCATTTATTCTTGTTATCGTCTCAACCTTTTTTTATCTCCCCTATTCTTTCTATATAGTGGATTATTATCTTAGTGATTCAATGCTTGAAAATCCATAATTGTTTACTTGTTGTCCTTTTTAAGTAAATTGGTTTTAGAGCCCAGTTTCATGTAGGGAATTTTTCATCTATGCTATGATATCATTGGAATTTTCAATGGTTTGTTCAAAAGCCCTTGGTTTCATTTACCCAATTACCATAATCTTCCCTTTCCATGATCCAATCTATATCTTTAAACCATGGTTCATTAAGTCACTTTTGAGATTATGCATTGTTATAAAAATAGTTGATGCCCTACCCTACACCTATTTTTTTCCTTTTATGCGCAATACATGGTCTATCTTTGTTTTACTCTCTTCATGCTACAATAGTCCCTAGATATGTGTCCATTTTTACTTAATCATAATTGTCATCCCCATATGATCTCCTCCCTCTATGTACCCTATTCCATTTCAACCAATTGTAAATTATAAATCCCCGTGACATCACCTTCCCTCCACAAGATCCTGCATAAATTCCTCCATAATGCTTTCCATAATTTATTTGTTTATTTCCTCTTCATTTCTTTCACCAAAACCTCTAAACTTATTCTCTATTGGAATTGTAATTGAAACTTAAATTTGAATTTCAATAACTTAATTTTGAAAGTTGAATTAAAACTATCATCCTAATCTCCTTCCTATTTTCCACCACAACTTTCTCCAACCAAGTTAAGTCAGACCTAGCTAGTTTCTTCCAGTTTAGCCTAACTCCACTTGTTCTCCAAACTAGCACATTATATGTAGCGAAATTGTGAAAGTAAAATATAGAATGGGAACAAAACATTATTAACCATATCAAGCAATGAATCTTCATGACATAGATTGTTATATCCTCGAATCACAAAACATTCATATGAGTATGAATTTTCATAGAATTATAACCCAATATACCATTCATCAAATTTTTATATTTATAAGAAAAAAGATGTTATTTATAGTGTTATTTATAGAAATGGTTGTACAAAATAAAACTTTAAACTACTTCCAAGACTATTTACAAAATAATCTTCATGAAAATAAGAATAAGTCTAAATAAAGCTAATTCCTAAAGATCCGAATAATAAATAAAATTTTATCTAGAATATCATCACTCTAACAATAGATTGCAACAATTCTTCTAGGGGTGGGAAGAATTCTTATTTGTAGAGTAAGATCGATGGTACTACTTTGGAAAGCTGAGCCTAAAAGAAAAGCAATGCTTCAATGTTACAAGCTTTCCGTTTATTAAAGATAGATGATATCTTCATCTTATTGCAGAGCATGTCAAACTTAAATTTTGATGTGATGTTCTTAGGCTTAAGTTGAACAAATATACTTATTGCAAGAAGGCGGAGGGAAGAAGAGGAGAAGATGCAAAGATGTAGAAAATATTCATTTTTTTAGTCTAGAGACACAAATGGAGAAAAAAACTTTGAAGCTGTAAAGGAAAAAGAGATCGAAGAGGCTAAGGCATTGTCAGAGAGGTTAAGGAGGTAACGTTAATTATGGAAGATGGTGTGACAGATGACAAAGAGGAAGTTGACATCAATTGCCTAATTGTGGGTGTTGGGGAAGTGAAAAGGGCGTGTACGGTTAATTCTAGCAAGGAAGGGATTGTGGCAGCCTATTGTCACATTACATATTTAATCCATGGATGAACATCCTCTTAATTCTCTCTATCAAATAGAATGTTAAAGGTAAACATAATACTTTAATTAGAAGTACATGGGGGTTAAGCACATATTGCTAAACCAAATTTAGGCTATGTACACGTTATAATGAATCGAAAGTGGTAAAGTATAATTATTCTATAAATTAATACCAACTAAACTAACATAAACAAAGACTCAAAATTGGTAATTGGAAGTAGATGTCTTGCACAACATCAATAATCTACACTTGAATAACTTTACTACAAGAAAAAAAACATGCTAGAGAATGTAAGATTATTGTGCTTGTAGTCTCATTGCTTGCATCAATGATTTGTTAGGCAATGTTAAAACATAACATATTATATCTTTTAAAGCATCATGTGGCTGAAGCCTAACATCCATCATTGCTCCAGACTACTTGGCATCATCCTTATAGGGGTGTAAATGAGCCGAGCCCAGTCTCTGTCGAACAGGCATTCCAATTTCTCCGGTAAGGCAAATTCACGAGTCAAGCTCAAGCCTGCTGCAACTCTGATGAACAGAGTTTGAGCTCACCATATGAGCTCGATTCGAGACCGAGCTCGAGTTCGAGCTTGTGACTACGTTGACAACCGAGCCCGAACTAGCCCAAACGTGAGCTCGACTCGACTCGTTTGCACCCCTGACCTTTATAATCATCTCTTATCATTCATTAGTATAAGAGTTACAAATGGTGTTGATGTTAATTTAATATTTTTGTTAAACAAGCTCAAACAATAATAGCTTAGGCCTACCCATTTTATTCCAAACCATTTCAAACTCGTTAGGTCCACATCTTATTGATGCTACCTACCTAAATAATATAACTCTAAACCACCTCAATCTCAGTCTAAGTTCTATGAAATCCTCATTAATATGCGCCAAACTCCGTCCATTTAAGAGTTCATATCTCACTTTATATTTTATAGTTTTACCGGTCGTATCTTAATTATCTCTGCTTATTATAACAATCTTTCTCATGTGAGAATTCTTTATACTTAAATTCAAATCTATCAAACGATTCATCAATGGTTGGACTTATATTTTTTTTAATTGTGTAAATGCTCAACGACAAAACATAAGTGTCCTCGCTCAATTTCAATCATTTAACACTAATCCTTTAATGATATCATCAATTGTAAACCATTCCTTTAAAAGCACTCTTTAATTGATGACCTCCATTTTTCATTTTAGCAAAATTGATACAATAGATTTAATCTACATTCAAATTATTCTAATTTCCTTCTACTTTAAAGCATCTCAATGGTGTTCCAACACTTCAATTCAAATTCAATAAGTACTACTTTACATATTTAAACTTATTAGTCTTACCACACATGCACTTTATATTTCACTTTTTTTCTTACTCAAATGGGTTATTGACTTACTTGTGGGCAACACTCTAATTCATAAAGCATAACTGGCTTCTCATTTTATAAAATCCACTTTTAGGCTTCATAATATAATCTTATGGCACAATACGCATGAGTTTATTCGCCATTTTCACAATTTTAACTCTAGAAGATATATGCTTATCTATAGATTCTTTTTTCTTTTTTATGTTAGAGTGAAGGTAAGCCTAACATATCCAATATTTCAACAACATTGACTTATATTTATCAAGATCACACTCAAGTGAATTGTATCTAAAGTACTCAATATGTATTACAACAATTATAAGCTCCTCCATCTCCAATAAATTTTCCTAATTCTTCAGACTTTAATATCAAAACAGTTCTCATTTCTTTGAACCATGAAATCTACAAAAATCATACATCAAGGTGACTCGTTTTTAATATGCTCATAAACAAAACCGTAACTAGTACAAAAGATATGAATTTAATCCTTGATGTAATCCTAATATGATTGGAAACTCTTTGGTCACTCCACAATTATTTTTACTGCTATACATTTCTTTAACTTCAACATACCATTGACACAAACTTTCTCCTTAATGCCCACCAACTCAATTCTCGTGGTCTCAATAGTATGCTTATTCAATATCAATAAAAATCAAAGAAGACATTTTATTTGTTTTATACTCTTTATCAAAATTAACTTCATTACAGAAATCGTCTATATAGTAGCTTTTTGGCATATAGTTGAGTAGTTCCTTTAATATTAATATGAAATTTCTAAGCTTACGTTGCTGTAAACCCTCTCAAAACTATATTGAATGACACATAATGATACCGTATGGTTATCATAATCATCAAAATTTCCAAATTCTAAGATCCAAAATTACAGAATAGACAAGTGCCCTTTCATTCGTGACAACAGAGCAACAAAATGGTATTTCACAAAAAAAGCCGCAGTATCCAGGAACTAAATATATATACATATAATCATTAAATCTCCACGGAACAGAGTAAAGCAATACGAATATGTGAGCACATAGCAAGTGTACCTTCTTATACGCCAATCTCTGCAGTTTGGGGACCTCCTCGAGTAACTTGGCCTTGGTGCGCCGGATCTCCGCATTCATCGCCACGACCGCCGCCCTGTTCTTCTCTTGAGACGCCAATTCCGATTTCTGCAGACAAAAATCCTCCGATCAGCTAGCAATGAGGACGAGATTGAAGAATCAGAGTAAATCTCAGGAGAAAGTGGGAGCAACGATGATAATGCCGACGCGGATAGGGTTGAGAAGGCGGGATTACACTTAGGGCGGCCTCGATGTCGGCTTCGACGGACGAGTAGAGGCGGGCGAAGGCATCGTCGCTGGAGAAATTCCCGCCGTCGCCGCGCTGTTTATCGACGTCGTACTTGTCGTATTTCTTGCAGATCGAATCAACACGGGTCAATATGTCGATCACGCTCATTTTTCCTCCCTAAATCTTCTTCCTCCGGGGCACCTTTCCCTTCTTCCTGATGAGTCTTACCGTTCTGAGTCCGCTCAGGCCAAAGCAGACAATAGAGATGCGGTAGGGAGAAGAAATGAGGGCAGCCCTGCAAACAAGCCAAAAGGCGACGAGGCCGACGAACAGCAGAGATTGCCTAGCATGTTATTTTTGGAGCATTGAAGTAAAACGATGAACCCAAGAAATTATTTAGTGTGAATAATAATTAGTGGGTTTACAAAATTAATTAATTAATATATTTTTTTATTTTTCTTAATTATATGTTTTGAAATTTGAGTGTTGAATTTAAATTTATGGGGATTTATATACCTATCATTTTATTTTATGCTATTTAAATATTAACACTTAAAATTTTAATAGTACATTCTTGTCATTCATATAAAATTTTAATATTAAAATTTTAGATTTGATATATGTAAATAACATAAAATAAAGTGTTATGTCTGTATGTATGTAAATCCCCTTAAATTTATTTGTCTGTGATATCTAGACCTGTAACAAGTCTAGCTAGATAGAACAAGAGAAAAGGAGAGAGAGAGTACTCAAAGTGGCTAAAAAATAAAATAATTATCATGGATGATAAAAATGACAAAGTTTCAAACATGCATGTTAATATCTTATTTGGTAAAATGCTAAACTTAGAAAAATAGAGACATAATGCATTATTGGATAAGCGCAAACTAGTGCAAACACATTGAATAGACTGAAATGTATATTCATGGTCATATATCACAAATGTGGCTAAGGATTCCTCTGGTGTATGCCCTATGGATGTGATTAATTCTCATCAACGAGTGCCTTAGATGAGTTCATGAGATTAAGTGCTTTAGACGAGTTCTCCATGATGAACACCTTTGGCCAATCGAGTCCATGAAAGTAAATGTTATGTATGAGTGGTGACTCTCTTTGGGCAAATGATGTGTTTTAGATGAGTGTGCTTGTGAGTTGGAGATAAACGCATTTGATGAAGCCTTCACTATGGTCCCTTTAGGCATGTGCCTCTTGTAGTTTGAATTTGGATATCAAATTAAAGGTGAATGCCCCTAACTAGGAAGGACTGTTGAAAGAGATGGGTCCTCATAAGAATTGTGTTTTTTTTTTCAAGTAAAGGCTTGATTAGGTGAATTCTCTTCTTTAACTCGCTTGAAACACGTGCATCTATGATTGGACTCCTTAGGGGCAAGCTTCTATAATGCCAACTTCACTGGGATAGATGTTTGCCTATCATTCCTCTTACTCTAGCAAATGCCCCTCTAGGTCAGGCTCATTTTTGTCAAATGTGCCTCTTGATCGAGCTCCTTAGACTCGATCACTTGACATCTATAAGTTATCTATACTGACATATATTAACATAAATTGAGCATTGATTATAATATTCACTTACATATGTCCTTATTCAAACCTCTGGAATGAAGGCCTTAGCATCAATAATCATGCTCTAAGATAGAGAATCAATATGTATGTTATAAAATCAATTATACTTATGTATATAATTATGTATAACGTCCTACTTGATAGTCCTTATATATGTTATTCCCCACCTAAGAATAGATGAGGGGTCACTTGACATTAGCATATTGGTGAATGATTATCATAATTTTTTTTTTCTTGACTCTACTTGATTTGAGTTGAAGGGTTAAACCTTTCATATATTTTGAGATTGGAGCAGTATCTTATGATCAGATGCTCAATGATCGAATGAGCCAATCTCATGATAAAACTAGCCGCATCAATCTCAAATGTAAACTCAAAGATTAGGATATAATTCAAGATCACTAAGGTTTGAACAAAATATTTGAGAGAAGTATATGATGCATGGAGACATGATACAACAACGACAACATCAAACCTTGATCTCACTACCTGGTTACTTGAATTCTTTTTCTCCATTTTTTCCTATTTAGAATCAAATTCTCATTTAAATCCAATCAAAGAGATTATTTCTAATACTTCATAACCAAATTTTTTTAGGTATATCACTATCTTTTTTAACATAGGTCAGATCTAATACATTTACTCTTCTAATTTGGTTATTGGAAGACTGACGTTTTATGTGAACAAATCATGTAAGGCGACTATCTCTAATCTTATGTGACCAAACCATCTAACATGGAGATATTCAATGCACAAAATAATAATAATAAAGATGTAGCCGCTTGTTGAATAACAAATGTTGTTCACAATATCATATCATTTTAATCATATCTCTTTTCATGTTGCTCTTTACTCTTCCTAGTTTATCAAATTGCTCAAAATAGAAGTTTATCTAAATTTAAATTAAAATTTAACTTGATTCGAGCAAAGTCTATTAATTTTATAAAAATATAGTAATCACTAATATGTTTTTCTTGAGAAATCTAAGGCCTAAGTAGTTAGAAATGATAAAGAGGAAATATAAAACTCATATATGATTACTAACTACAGTCAATTAAATAAAAAATTTATCAGACATCTTTCAGCATGAAGAGCAGCAACCATTTTTAATTTTGCTTAGTTGAAAGGTCAGCCTTCCTTGGTAAGTCTTTGAATATATATATATATATATATTCAGGGAAAATATTTTTCAAATGATAATTTTTATGTTTAATTTTAAAAAACAATTTAAGAACAGTTATTTTTTTGCTTTCTATTTTTCCTGCTAAAAATATATATTGAAAGTAGAAACTAAAAGGAAATAAACTATTTGGTAAACTATTAACCCAATTCAAATTCATTGAAGTAAAAAAAAATGTATTTTTTTAGGCTCATTTATAATATTAAGATGATCATGAATAATAAATCAAGTTGATGACATTGATTACCTGTTTTAGCATTTTTTTTTCTTCTTGTATAAAAGTTCATAGGAAGAGATTTATTAGGTTGACAATAATTTTCAAGACCCATATTGATTAGATGAGATGTCGCACCTACATCAACAATTTTTTAATTATTTGCATGTTTCACAATGATATGTCTTTTAAGTTTCATAAAACTTAAAACATTATTTATGTTTATTTATAATTTTTAGAATTACTTATGTCGGTAGAGAGAGAGAGAGAGATGTGAGCACAATTAAAGTGGAAAGTTCGGGCAGGCACAAAACGAGAAATACCGAGCAATATTGGCAATAACTAGAAATACAATTATATGAAGACAAATACCGAGCAATACCGAGTAATATCTAGAAAAAACTCGGTATTGCTCGGTATTACTCGGTATTGGTCTTCACAGAGCGGTATTTCTCGTTATTGCCAAGCAATACCTAGCAATACCGAGCAAATACCGAGCAACTCAGTGATGACCGAACGTAGTTCTACGTCCGTTCACCGGACCTAATAATTGTTCCTTAAAAGGAAAAATATAATATAAGAGCGAGTAAAAAAAGAAATTAAAGATTATAAGAGAGATAATTAATAGAGCGATTAAGCAATTATCGGCTAACTTAGACATTTAGGTTTAGGTTAAAAATTACAACATGAGAAAATTTTTATGGTGTGATGGCTCATTGGATGTTATTATGGATCTATCATCATACCAGCCAAAAAATGAAAAGAAAGACTTTTTGTTGATCTTAAGCTTGTGCATTTTAAGCCTTTCGACATCATTGGCATGTTTTTTTTAGTACAAGAAGTCCAATTTAAAATGTTCCAAAATCGTTGAAATACATCTTTAGAAGTTTCATTATGCTTTAAAAGTGTCAAAATTTAATTTCTAATTTCAAAAAATGATCATGAGGTTTAAAAAAGCCTAAACGGATTTATTTTAGCCATGAAATGTAAAATTTTATGTCGGAGCTCGATCAATGGCAGTGTGAACTCCATGTATGCAATACCTCCTTATTGAGGAAAAATTATTCTGTGCGGACCCGAATGGCATCCGGAGACCAATAAAAATGCACCACATCACCCTTTTACTATGTCGCGGCTCGGTACTGCTCGGTACCATGGCATCCGGGCGTAGAGCTGTGTCCAGCGTCCACACAGAATAATTTCTCATGAGGAAAAAATATTATTAAATATACAAAGAGATCATAAAAAAGCTTTAAATTTATGATGAATGCCAAAATAATTTTGAAAATCATAAGAAAATTTGAAATCTTTTTTGTTTTCTCTCCTCCCGCGCTCAAATCTCCTCTTCTATGTCCTATGAAATCCCATTGAGGGTATAACTAAGATCAAAGTTTTAATTAGATTCTCGTTTTCTTTAAAATAAAGGCTTAAAAGAATCTAGCTACAATTGCTAGTAAATTACAAGGTTCATAGTCTATGCATAAAGGATTTGATCTACATTAGAAAAAGATGGGTAACTTTCCTAGATAGTACAATTTATAATTGAGACATACAACTTACGATTACGGCAAATTATTGCATCCGATCATCAGACACGGAGATAGGTTCAGATATTAATAAAATATTATTTTAAATTAAGCACATGTAAAGCGCAGTCAAAAGCGCAGGTGACGTGGCATGTTTTTATTGGATGTCCGAACCTATTCTACGTGTCCGGTGACCGGATGCAATAATTTGCCTATGATTACACCTCTTGGCTCCATTTTATTGGGAATTTCTAGTCCTAAATATATTGCCTAAAGAGTAAAATAAACATATCGAGACGATGCCACATCAAAATAACGATGTTGCACATAGAGAATTAGAGGTACTAAATAAGCTGACAAATCAATACATAGGTGAATAGATCATAGCAAATATTCTTAATATTTAGTATGAAGGAAATAATGATTTCTAGTTGAGTTAATTAAAGTTATCTTAATATTTTGCCTTTTGAGACCTTATTCTTAGTCTAAATTTAACAATATTTGATCTTGTAACTTACAACAAATAAATCAGAAGTGGGTGGCATTATGATAATCGATATCATTGCATTCAGTATAACAAGAAATATCCTGATAAATGATCAATATTAAAAGATCCACTTTCTCAATGACCTTGTGAAACAACATGTGGCATTTAGGGCAACCATCTTTCCTACTTGCAATAAGAATCTAATTATTCCAATAGAGAAACAAGCTAATATTCATAAAGGGACTAAAAATTTCATAATAATAAGGTATTCTAGGTCTAGCTAGTGAAAGGGAGGTTGTAGCATTCTTTAGTGCAGTGGACAGTTTCTAAAGGTCAATGATGTGTTAGCAATAGATCTAAACCATATTCTAATGACTCTTCGTGGA